TTTTTTTTTTTTTTTTTTTTTTTTTTTTTTTTTTTTGAGACAGGGTTTCTCTGTGTAATTCTGGCTGTCCTGGAACCTGCTTTGTAGACTAGGCTGGCCTTGAATGCAAAAATCCTCCTGCCTCTGCCGCCCGAGTACTGGGATTAAAGGCGTGGGCCACCACTGCCCCATCCAGGTTGCTGTTTTCATATTGTCTTTTAAAGAGTTCTCTATAAACTAAGGAAATTGGCCCTGACAGAGATTGCAAGTGTTTTTATTGTCTTTTCATTTTGCTCTGCATTTCAGGCTTATGACTTTTTGACTGTTAGATTTGTCAATAGTTTGGTTTGCTTGGTTTGTTGTTGCTGGATTTTTTGTTTTGCTTTGTTTGTTTGTTTGTTTGTTTGTTTTTTGGGGCAGGGTTTCTCTGTATAGCTCTGGCTGTCCTGGAACTCACTCTGTCCTGAAACTCAGGCTGGCTTTGAACAGCTGTTGGCTTGTTAGTTTTTTGGTTTTGTTGTTGTTGTTTTGTTTTGTTGAGACAGGGTCTTTTGTGTAGCCTTGGCTGTCCTGAACTCTGTGCACTGGTCTCACAGTGATCTGCTTGCCTCTACCTCCCCAAGTGCATTAAAGGAGTGCACCACTACGCCTGGCTTGTCTTGTTTTTTAATGGCTTCTTTATTTTTGTTTTTCTTCATGTTCCTAGTCTTCATGTATTTACACATGGGTCAGTTTGTGGACACTGGTGATCTTTTGAACTTTAAATCACTTGTGCATCTTGAATTTATTTTGCTATGAGATTTGTAGGAAGCCAGTTCTACATGGTAAGCAAATAAGTGTTTTACCATTGACCTATATCTCACTCCCCCCCCCCTTTTTTTTTCTTTTCACTGTTTAATTTTTGACACTGGGTCTTGCTAAATTGCCTAGGCTGACCTTGAAAGTGTCTCTGTAACCTGTCCCAGGCAGGCCTTGAACTTCTGTTCCTCCAGCTTTGTATCCCAAATAGCTGAGATTACAGGCCTGTATTGCTAAACTTGGCCAGATTTCTTTTATGTATTCTGGTTTCTCTCCCAAATTTCCATAGCACAGGTGAGGTGTTTTTTTTTTTTTTTTTTTTTTTTTTTTTTTTTTAAAAAAAAAAAGGTTAATTTTTTTTTTTTATCTTTTCTTTTCTTTTTTGGTGAAGACCTGATCCTCAGTTTAATCCAGAAGACCCACAGTGACTTGAATCTTTTTATTTCCCCTTCCCTTGTTCAGTTTCATTTTAAGTCATCCTTTCTCCCTGCTTGGATTTTGAACCAAAGATTCCTCTAGGCAGCAAAATGAGTCAATCTCAATACTCACTTAATTTCCCATTGCTCAGGGAAGTTTTTAAAAATTGTCTGATGGGGACTAGAGAGATGACTCAGTGGTTAAGCGCACTGCCTACTTCTCCACAGGGCCTCTGTTCAAATCCCAGTACCTACATGGTTGCTCACAAGCATTTATAACTGTAGTTCTGTGCAATCTCCTCTTCTGAGATGTATATGCATAAAACCCATAGAAAGATAGATAGACAGATAGACAGACAGACAGATAGAAAAACTTTGAGACAGGGTTTCTCTGTATAGCCCTGGCTGTACTGGACCAGGCTGGATTCAAACTCAGAGACCAAGCTGCCTCTGCCTCCCTGAGTGCTGGGGTTAAAGGTGTGTGCCACCTTATTTGTGAGTGATGTATGTTTGTGTGAATATGTGCACTTGAATGCAGGTGCATTTGGAAATAGGTATCAGAACCCTCTAGAACTGGAATGACAGGCTGTTTGAGTTGCCCAGTATGGATGCTTGGAATCAAACAACTTCTGTAAGTAGTTTTTACTCTTAACTGTTGAGTCATCTTTCTGGCTCCTGTTTTATGCATTTTATCCACTTTCTAAAAATTGTTTTAGACAGAAGGATAAATCTTCTGCTAGTACTTCATCCCAGAATCTCATTCTTGTTTTTCAGAATGTAACAATATGTCTCTAGCTGTTGTCATTAATTAAAAAAAAAAGTTTCAGGTTTCTTTATTTTATGAAAATGAATGTTTTACCTGTATGTATATATGTATGTGTACCACGTGCATTCCTGGTCAGATGAGGGAACTGGATTTCCAGGAACTGGGCTTACAGATGGTTGTGAGCCACTCTGTGGGCACTGAGACTCAAACCCTGATCTTCTGCAAGAGCAACAAGTGCTCTAAAACACTGAGGCATCTCTCCATCCCGATTGTCATTAATTTACTTCTGTAAACATTGAAATTATTTAAGATACCTCATTTTTCTTTCAGATTATTCCTTTTTATTTTTAAACTGTTTATATGTGTGTGTACATGAATTTATGTGTACTACATGCATGCAGTAGCCTAAGAGGCTAGAAGATGATGTCGGAGCCCCTGGAACTAGAGTTACAGGGGGTTGTGAGCTACCCAATGAGGGTGCTTGGAATAGAACTTAGGTCCTTTGGAAGAGTAGCTCTTAACTAGAGCCATCTCTCTGTACCTCCACCCCCTTTCTTCTTAAGATGAGTCTGTGTAGCCTAGGCAAGCTTCAGACTTGCTGTGTAGTTCAGGCTGGTTTCAAATTTTCTTTAACCACCCACATCTGGGATTATAAACTCTCATGCTCAGCCAATCTACTCTCTTGATAGACTAAAGGTTGCTTTAAATTTTTCAATTTAAAAAATTTTAATTTTAGTGGCAAGAGAAGCCAGTAGCTTATAGGTTTCATAATTCAAATGATAAAATTGTATATTAGTAATAGTTTCATGAAGTACACGCCTAGAGGTGGTGACACAAGCCTTTAATCCCAGCACTCAGGAGGGAGAGGCAGGCAGATCTCTGACTTCAAGGCCAGCCTGGTGTGCAGAGTGAGTTTCCAGATTTTGTGTAGCCAGGCTACACAAAGAAATACTGTCTCAAAAAACCAAAACAAAGAAAACAAAGGCAAAAATAAATAAATATGGACTACACATAGCTTATGCAAACCATAATGAATCCATGCGGTATATAAATTTTTCGTAATTTCACTCAATAGTACTCTTAACTACTTTTTCTTTCTTCCTAGATTTAAATAGTTGAGTGAAATCAAGCTGGGTAACCATGGCTGAAGGTGGATTTGATCCCTGTGAATGTATTTGCTCTCATGAACATGCGATGAGAAGACTGATCAATCTGGTGAGATGAACAGCAGTCCTGTTAAGAACTGCTCTGTATTCTTTCTTCCTGGTTCTGTGAGATTAGTGTTTGATTAGTTATGTCTCTGTTGCAGTGATTGGTCATGAGCAAAGGCAACTAGGGAAAGAAAGGGTTCATCTCAGCTTTCCCTCATGGAGGGAAGTCAGGGCAGGAACTCAAGGCAGGAACCTGGAGGCAACAACTGAAGGAGAAGCCACAGAGGATCATTGCTTAATTACTTGTACCCTAAGACTTGCTTAGCCTGCTTTAACAACCTAGGACCACCAGCCCAGGGGTAGCATGGCTCTGGCCCTCCCACATTAATCATTAATCACAAAAAATGCTCCACAGACTTTCCTACAGGCTGATGTGGTTCCCTCTTCCCAGATGACCTTAGCTTGTATGTAGTAGACAAAAAACTAACCGTACCAAGGTTAATAGAGGATTTTCTCCAGACAGTCACTAAAATGTAGTTGATAGTAAAACTCCATGGTAAGTTAAGTCATAATGAAAAAACATTTGCCAGTATTTTATAGAGATACAAACCAATCATTTCTTTACTTCTGTAGATTTATTTTAAGGACACTTGGTGTCCTGATTAGTTAACCACAATCATGTTGAACCAATCATGTATTCACGTTGTGCCAGATAATTGTTTTTAGTTATGTGGAGTTTACCTGCCAAACTACTATGAAACCATGGCTCCTTTCTGATACACACAGTTCAGTCCTTCTCCAACATAAATCACTACAATAAGAATCTCTGTGGAAAGCACTTCTAGATCTACTAAGTTGTTTGGCAAAGGTTAAAATAAGAAGTCTTTTTAAAAATCTGGCCAGTGGTGGCACAACACCTTTAACCCCAGCACTTGGGAGGCTGAGGGTGGCCTGGAACTCGCTCTGTAGCCCCAGCTGGCCTTAAGCTTACAGACATCCACCTGCCTCTGCCTCCCAAGTGCTGGGGCTAAAGGTGTGTGCCACCTCCACTCTTCTCAGTTCTCATTTAACTTTCTTACTTCCTAAACTTAAAATTGATACTGTTTATATGATAGTGTACACTTCTTAGTATAAAAGAAGAAATTTGACCATTACTAAAGTACTATTTTTTATATCCAGTGCCTCATGTACACTAGGCAATACTCACTTTACTGCAGAGCTATATTCTCAACCTTTCAGGCCTTAATTTTTTTTTTTTTTTAAAGACAGGGTTTCTCTGTGTAGTGTTGGCTGTCATGGACTCACTTTGTAGACCAGGCTGGCCTCGAACTTACAGGGACCCACCTGCCCCTGCCTCCCAAGTACTGGAATTACAGGCATGTGCCACCGAACCTGGCAAGCCTTAAAATTTTTACAAAAGTATATTTTGTGTTTGTGTTCTTCTGTGGTATTTTTTTTTTTTCCTGAATATGCCTGTGTACTATATGTGTAGCTGGTACTCTTGGGACATTAGAAGTATGTCACAGATCCCCTGGTTGTAAGTCTCAGTGTGGGTGCTAGGGATTGAACCAATACTGTCTGGAAGAATAGCCAGTGCTCGTAACCACTGAGCCATCACTCCAACCCCTCAAGTCTTAAATTTAATCCAACATAAGGCCTAAGTTCTAAAAGAACTTTGATATTAATAACAAAAACTGGTCTAGGAACCTAACTGTGGTGAAGCAAGGCATCTACATTTAATTAAAAATTACCATCTCAAAGGACATCAGAAGAAGAAGAAAACAGGAAACAAGCGAGGAACCTGCCACAGAGGGCCTCTGAAAGGCTCTGCCCTGCAGACTATCAAAGCAGACGCTGAGACTTACGGCCAACTGTTGGGCAGTGTGCATGGAATCTTATGTAAGAAGTGGGAAATAGGGCTGGAGAGATGGCTCAGTGGTTAAGAGCACTGTCTGCTCTTCCAAAGGACCCAGGTTCAATTCCCAGCACCCACATGGCAGCTCACAACTGTCTGTACCTCGAATTCCAAGGGATCTGACACCTTCACACTAATGCACATAAAATAAAGTTAAATAAATTATTTAAAAAAAAAAAAAGAAGTGGGAAATAGTAAGATCTGGAGAGGACAGGAACTCCACAAGGAGAGCAACAGAACCAGAAAATTTGAACACAGGGGTCTTCCCAGAGATTCATACTCCAACCAAGTACCATGCAGGGGTTCTCCAACCTAGAACCTCTGCACAGATGTAGCCCATGGCAGTTTAGTGTCCAAGAAGGTTACATAGTAATGGGAACAGGAACTGCCTCTGACATAATCTGATTGGCCTGCTCTTTGATCACCTCTCCCTGATGGGGGAGCAGCCTTACCAGGCCACAGAAGATGACAGTGCAGCCACTCCTGATGAGATCTGATAGACTAAGGTCAGAAGGAAGGAGAGGAGGACCTCCCCTATCAGTGGACTTGGGGAGGGGCATGCATGCAGAAAGGGGAGGGAGGGTGGGATTGGGAGAGGAGAAGGGAGGGAGGGGCTTATGGGGGATACAAAGTGAATAAAGTGTAATTAATTTGAAAAAAAGAAAAAAAATACCATCTCTCCTTTAAAATTATATTTTAATTTAGTATCTTGTTGTTGTTGTTCTAATTGGTTATATTTTAGAAGAAATTAAAACTGGGGCATGTCCGACCCTCCCCTTTCCTGGTAGTGTACATGTGACTCTCTACCATGCTGCTGCTTTCTAATTTTAGCTCAGCTTTTAGGTCAGGGTACAGGAGGAAGATGTGGTGGAAGTGGGTAGCTATGGAGATCAGGCCATGAGGGAATAAAACCTGTAGGTCAAGCCTCGGACTGATCCCTCAGGACACAGAGTCAAGGGGAAATGTAAGAGATGGCCATACAGCAGATAATTCCCAAGATGGAATTATAAGGAAAAATGTATATCCCCTAAAGTTTACAACTGATGCTAGAAATATCAAAGGTGATGCCTGGTGGCTCAGAGCCTCCAAGGTGTAGCTTTTTTAAAAGCCAATGTATTAGAAGATTATATAAACGGTTTGCTGCATTAAAAAAAGAATATAATAAACACTTCAAGTTAAGACAGCTCCTTGTCTGCATACACAGTGTAGAGGGGAATTGGGAATGAGTGGTCCAAGAAGTCAGAAGTCAGATGGCAAGATCAGCTGACAGCTTCAGCAACAAACTTGATCAGATGAAAGAAGAAATAACACAGGTTAAAAGACAAGGAAGGAAAGAAGGAAGGAAGAAAGAAAAAACGAAAACCAGCATGGTGGCTCACACCTATAATCCCAACACTCTGGGAGGCAGAGGCAGGGGGATTGCTGTGAGTTTGAGGCCAGCCTGGCCTACAAAGTGAGTTCAAGAGAAAACCTGTCTCAGGGAAGGAAAAAAAAAAAAGAAAGGCAAGACTTTTGAAATGTTAGTGCCACATATAAAAGAAAGAATGAAAAGAAAATGTGAGTGCTTAGAGAAGCCTTTCAAAGATACATATGTGTCTATATGTGTCTCATTGGTGTACCTGTGTAAGGAGAGCCTCAAGCTGACTGTACAGAAAACCTACTAAACAAATACCAAAAAAATTCCCAACTTTTGGGAAAAGACATGATCATGCAGGTAGAGTAAACATTTAGAAAACTTGAAATAAGCATGACCTCAAAAGTACTTCTTAGCTGGCTCTGATGGTGCAGGTATTTAACTAGGCAGAAGCAGGTGGATCTCTATGAATTTGAGACCAGCCTGACCTGCATAGCAGATTCCAGGCCCACTAGGCCTACACAGTGAGATGTCTATATAAAAGAAGTTCCTCTTTATGATATATTATACAATGTTCTCTCTGCCTGTACACCAGCACACCAGAAGAGGGCACAAGATCTCATTATAGATGGTTGTGACCTACCACGTAGTTGCTGGGAATTGAACTCAGGACCTCTGGAAGAGCAGTGAGTACTCTTAACCTCTGAGCCATCTCTCCAGCCCCTGTGTGTTTGTTTGTTTTTGTTTTTTTTTTTTTTAGAAACATTGTTTAAAATGGTGGCTGGTGAGATGGGTCAGTGAGTTAAGTAAGTGCAGGGACCTGAGTTGAGATCCCAGGTACACATACAAAAGCCATGCATGCTGAAACAAACCTGTCACCCCCTCCCCGACCTGTGCTGTGGGGACAGAGAGTGGTGGACCCTGAGGCATCACTGGGGGCTAATCTGGTCAAAAGAGAGTTCCAGGGTTAGTAAGAGACTTTGTTTCAAAAAACAAATTGGAGAACAATAAAGAAAGACGCCCAATGTCATCCTCTGGTCCCCAGTTGTGCAGACATGAGCAAGCAAACAGGGGCACACACACACACCAGTCCTCACAGTGGACATTGTCCTTTCTCTATCCCAGTGTAATCCTTTAGGCTTTTTTTTTTTTTTTTAAGACAGAATTTTACTATGTGGCTCTGGCAGGCCTAGAACTTGCTGTGTAGAACAGGCTGGGCCCCAATGCTGGGCACCCTACCTGGCTTGTGAAATGTTTTCTAAAAAGAGGTGGATGAAAATAGATACATAGTGAGTTCCTTTCAAGTGAAATATGTCTTCATTAAATAAACAAACAAACAAATAAATAAATAAATAAATAAATAAATAAATAAATAAATAGAAATGCGTCTTCATTGTGTCACATCTAGTTTTATTTACTACATAGATGGAGAAAGGACCGTGCCAAGCCACAGTCTAGTCATAAGTCAGCCTTTTAAGTTGTTGAGTTCTCTTTAGAAAAAGGATGTGTCTCTCTGTGTAGCCCTGGCTAACCTGACCAGGCTGGCTTTTAACTTACAGAGATTGTCTTGCCTCTGTCTCCCAAGTGCTGGAATTAAAATCATGTGCTCTACATCTGACATCAAGTATCTACTCTTCTGATATCTAAATGATGATATTAAGATTAGCCGGGCATGGTAGTGTATGCCTATAATCCCAGCACTCAGGGAGGCAGAGGCAGTTGAGTTTGAGGACAACCTACAAAGCAAGTCCAGGGCAGCCAAGGTTACACAGAGAAATCCTGTCTGAAAACAAAACAAAAACAAGAATATTAAGATTTGAAGGTAATTGCCTAATCCAGCATGGTGAAACTGGCCTGAAACCCCAGCACTGGGCAGATTAAAGCAGAAGGATTTTGAATTTGAGCCCAAAAGCCAAATAAATAAAACCACTACTAACAGAGGACTCTGAGACCACTCAATTAAAATAGTTTGTTAATTTAAAAATAAACTTAATCGTACCATTAAAAGATTCATAGCAAAAGCAAAATATTATGATTAAACTTGGGGAGATGCATGATACAGCATATTTGTAAAAGTGACCTGGTGGCCTATAGGCTTTGAGTTAATACAGCAGCCAGGAATCAGAGTTAGGTAGATCATGATGCGTTTGAGCCAGCCTAGGGTATACTTCAGTAGGCCTTTTTTGTTGTTCCCCACTGTGTATATGAGGCTGTGTACATTGGGAGCTGGCTTGCAAGTTTCCAGTCTTCTTTCTCAGACTGTTTGTCTATGTGTGTGTTTAGAGTGGGGGGTGGCACCTGTTCTGTGACAAGACTCTTGTAGTCTTGTTTCCCCTTGGAGTAACCTTGCATGTTCAAATGATTCCTTTTGGATTCAGAAGGATTAAGATATACAGCATAGCTGGGTGGTGTCTTTAATCCCAGCACTTAGGAGGCAGAGGCAAGGGGTTCTCTGATTTTAAAACCAGCCTGGTCTACAAAGCTAGTTCCAGGACAGGCAAGGTCAGAGAAATCCTGCCTAGAGAAAGCAAATGAACAAACAAAAGGTATGCAGCATAATTTTACATTAGTTAAGATCTTTTACTGCCATTCTGACTCGGCAAGAATGGTCATCTCGGGGCAAAACTTAGGGAATGGCGTGTTCTTTATTGCTGTCCTGCTCAGATAACATTGTACCCTGTGTGTAGCCCAGGGGCAATAGTGTTCACTGGGCTATTAACTGCCTCACACATGTGTCTATGCTAATCCCTGATGGTAGGCAATTTTTTTTTTGGCCCCATTTTAATAGATGAAAAAAACCTAAAGCTTAGAGGTGGCCCGGAGTCTTGAAACATTAGGAAGCTGTCTAACCTGACTTACAGGTGATGCCTGTCACTCTGTGGAGCCCATGCTCTTGCCAGCCCAGCAGTTGTTCTGCAGATTGCTGGACAGACAGCCACAGGGGGTGGGTTACTGAGTATGTAAGAGGTGTTGTTCATAATGAGACTGCATGGAAAAGTTGCCTGTCCTTCACCCTCTGCCATTCAGCCATCTTCACTGAGATTTTCATTCCTCTGCCACCTGAAAGACCTTAGCGTGAACAGAACATGCATAATTTGCTTTATGTAACTGGCTGATGGATATTTGAATATTTTAAATTTATAATCTCAAATGATTCCAAAGCCAAATTTTATGAATTTTATAGTCGGGCAATGTGGCACATCTCTGTAATCCTAGCCTTTGGGAAGTAGAGGCAACGAGGAACCTGAGTTTATGGTCATCCTCTGCTGTGTAGTGAGTTTGAGGCTAGCCTGGCTTGCATGAATGAGACCCTGTCACAAAGAAAGAAAGAAAGAAGGAAGGAAGGAAGGAAGGAAGGAAGGAAGGAAGGAAGGAAGGAAGGAAGGAAGGAAGGAAGATTAAAAGGGGAGGTAGGGCTAGAGAGATGGCTCAGAAGATTAAGAGCACTGTCTGTCCAGAGGACTGGACCTGGGTTCAATTCCTAGAATTCATGTGGTAGCTTACAACTTCTGTAACTCCAGATAGCGGGGATTCGATGCCTAGTTCTGATCTCTGTTGGGCACCACGTATACATGTGGTGCACAGACAAACAAGCAGGCAGAAATCTCACTTAAAGTTAAACAAATAGGTCTAAATTTTTAAAAAATTGATTTGCTTGCTTATTATGTGGTGCTAGGAACTACATGCAGAGCCAGCATGCCCTGTCCTCACTCCTGCCCCTTACCCTGACCGTAGCCTGGTGGCCCCTGCCAGGTTGGTGGCTCAGCAGTTAACTCTCCTCTCTCTCTGCAGCTCCGGCAGTCGCAGTCCTACTGCACAGACACAGAGTGCCTCCGGGAGCGTAAGTACCAGCGGGCCAGAGGAGGGTGGGCCTTGGACAGTGAGCAGACAGGGTTCTCGTTTTGTCTTCTTCATTTTTAAAAAACAGTTTCACGGGGGCTGGAGAGATGGCTCAGAGGTTAAGAGTACTGCCTGCAATTCCAGGTCCTGAGTTCAATTCTCAGCAACCACATGGTAGCTCGCAACCATCTATAATGGGATCTGATGCCCCCTTCTAGCATGCAGGTGCACATGCAGATGGAGGACTCATACATAAATAGATAAATCGATGGGGGGAAGAAAAGAGTTCAGATAGCCCAGGTTGGCCTTGAACCTCTGATTATATGGCCTCCACTTCCCAAGGTGCTAGGATTTTAGGCATGTGCCATCATGCCTGACTTAGTTTATTTTATGGTAAATGGCTCTCTGTTGTGTTTTTGCTGCTTAATATACTCAAATGTTTTGACAGCCTCAAGTGGAGTCACAGGCTTCTCAAAAAGGGTCATTAACTTACAGCTCTTGTGTCTGTGGATGGCAGTACATGCCTGAAATCCCACATGGAAGGCTGAGGCAGGAGAATGGTGAATTCCAGGCTATCCTGTGCTACATGGCAAAACCCCATTAAAACCAAACCAAACCAAAAAAACTCTTCCTTTATAACTTCTTCAACTAAAAACTTAAGGTTGTGGGAGACTAACAGGATTTAAGAGAGTTCTAGGCTTCCAAGGGTGGGAAAGTATAGGAGGTAATACCTTGGAGGAAATTTGTGAAGGAATTTACAGAGTTTTCTACTGTAGATCTCTTGTCTTCAGTAGAGAATTTGTATTTGTCCCCGGGTGGTGATGGCGTACACCTTTAATCTCAGAGCTTTGGCGGCAGAAGCAGGTGGATCTCTGAGTTCAAAGCCATCCTGGTCTACAAAGTAGGTTCCAGGACAGCTAGGACTACACAGAGAAACACTGTCTGAAAAAAATGTTTTGTCATTAGGCAGAAAATATGTTTTTGGGAATCTTTCTTTAATTTGCTATTTCTAAATTGCTTCCAGCTCAAAAATATACTTAATTGAAAAGCATACTTTGACCAGTCTGAAGTCTCCTGCACATGTCTGAAGATTTTGATTGCTGGATTATGTTGTCTCCATTTATTACTCCATTTAAAACTATGCTAGTTTTCTAACCTTAGGTGTTGCCCATTTTGGGCAAGTACTCTCCTGCTGACCTACATTTCCAGTGCCAAATTACATTTTTTCATAGGTTACTTGTTTATATTTAGCTTCAGATATCCAGCACTCACTCTTCTTTGTCTCTGTGTGTGCGCATGCGTGTGTACCCCTGTGGTTGAGTGTCCCTGTGCTGCGAATGCCTGTGTGTGGATGTGGAGGCCAGAGGATGGCCTGGGTCATGTCCCTCTTCAAGCCTGTCTGCCTCCTTTTCTGTTTGAGACATTCCCTCAGTGGCCTGGGGCTTGCTGATCTAGGCCGGCAGCCCAGAGCGCCGTGTCTTTGTGTCCCCTGGTGTTGGTGCCCAGCTTGTTTACAGAGTCTGGGAATTAAACTCAGTGCCTCTGCCCCCCCAGAGTACAGATGCACATACTTCTCTTGGGTTACTTGTTTATTTTTGAAATATCTCATATATCCTGGCTGGCCTGGAACTCACTATGTAGGGGAGGATTCCATTCTAAGTGCTAGGATTCCATGCCTGCCAAGCACTGTTTTTATTCAGTGTTTGAAACTAAAGACACAATGAAGTACAGGCTTGTTGTTGTTGAAAACAGGGTTTCTCTGTGTAGCCTTGGCTGTCCTGGGCTCACTTTGTAGATCAGGCTGCTCTCAAACTCCCAGAGTTCTGCCTCTGTCTCCCTGAGTGCTGGGACTACAGGCACATGCTATTGCACCAGGTAAGTAGAGGCTTCTTACGCCATTGTCAATTAGTTTTGTTATTTGTGCCCTAGGTTCCCACCTCTGTAACTACACTAACTTGACTAGTGCAGGGTCGAGCCTACAGTAGAAATTGTCAGAGTACAGTGGCTGATGGCAGGATATGGTAATGGAAATGGATATGGTAGCAGTGACAACATGAGCAAGGACTAGAAAGATGGCAAGCTGAAGTTACAGAAGTTACTGAAGTTACAGTGCTCCACTTCTTTAGTCTCTTCTCTGACAGCATTCATCAAGCTTTGGTGCACAGCCCAGGTATTTGCCACTGGAGGTCAAAGTCCTAAAGCCTGCTTTTCTAGTTGAAAATGAGCTTAATTGAACTTCTTGTGGGAAAACAAATGTTTATTGCATGTATGATGGTTGGACTCTTGAGCCAGGGCCACTTGTAAATCAAGTAGGCTTTTTTTTTTTTTTTTTTTTAAAGATATATTTATTTATTTATTTATTCATTCATTTATTTATTTATTTATTTATTTATTTATTTTACATATGTGAGTGCTCTGTGCATGTACACCTGCATGCCAGAAGAGGGCATCAGATCCCAATATAGATGGTTGTGAGCCACCATGTGGTTGCTGGGAATTGAATTCAAGATCTCTGAAAGAACAGACAGTGCTTTTAACCACTGAGCCATCTCTCCAGCCCCCTCCCCCTTTTTTCCCCTCCTCCATTTCTTTACTTTTGGTTGTTCTGGAACTTGCTCTGTTGATCAGGCTGGCCTGAAATTCAGGAATCCGCCTGCCTCTTCCTCCTGAGTGCTAGGATTAAAGGTTGTGTACCAACATGCTCAGTTTATATTTTTGTTTCTGTCAGTGAAATGTCATTTACTGATCCTAAATAGAGAGGCAAAACTCCAGGTGTCCCTGCTTTTTTGTGCATGTTCAAACAGGTTGTGTGTGTGTGTGTATGCAAGAGGTAGACATCAAGTATATTCACTCTACACCTTATGTTTTTTAGACAGGGCCTCTAAATTCTGCAATTTTAGTATATATGAAGTCCGGAATTTGAGCCCCAGCACCAAATAAGCCTAGGCATGGGGAGACAAAGGCTGAAGGATCAGAGGTTCAGGGTCAATCTCTGCCACTTAGTGAGTTAGAGGCCAGCCAGGCGTACATGAGACCTTGATCCAAAACCAATCACTCCCTCAGTTATTCATAGATCCAACTGGTGGACAGGTATAAAGAGAAACAGTTATTTTCCCACTTGTAGAATCTACATGAGCTTTGGCATTAGTCAGGGAATATGGTTTGGGTTTTTTGTTTGGTTTGGTTTTGCTTTTGGCTTTTGGTTTTTCTGAGACACAGTTTCTCTGTGTAGCCCTGGAACTCACTCTGTCGACCAGGCTGGTCTCAAACTCACAAGAGATCTACCTGCGCCTGCCTCCCAAGTACTGGGATCAAAGGCGTGTGCCAGTGCTTTTTCTCTTTAATAATTCTCTGCTACTTTATATTTATTTCTTTTTATTGAAACAACTTTTGACATCTTTGTTTGTTTTTTCAGTGTTTTCTTTTGAGACAGGGTCTTACTATATAGCCTGGAGCCTGTTTCATAAACATAAACCAGGCTGGCCTTTAACTCATAGAAATCTGCCCTCTGCCTCTCGAGTACTAGGATTAGAGTTGTGCCTTATACACAGCTTTATTTTTACTTTGTGATATGTGTTCATGCGTGCAGGACTACCTTTGTGCTGGTGCAAATGCCATGTGTGTGCACATGTATGTGGAGGCCAGAGGTCCACTTCAAATGTCATTTTTCATGAGCCATCCTCGTGTGTGTGTGTGTAGATACAGGGTCTCTCAATGGGATCTGTGGCTCACCAGTTAGACTAGGCTGCCTGGCTGGCCAGTGAGTCCCAGGGAGGGATTACCCTGTCTCCATTTTCCCAGCACTGGGATCACAAATGTGCCATCATGCCCCACTTTTTCACAGAGGTTCTAATGACTGAACTCAGGGCCTCATGTTTGCTTGGCAAAGACTGAATTATAGAGTTACCTACCCAGTACAACCCATGACATAATTTCCTATCTCTTTCTGTCTCTAAATAAAGCTTTTGTGTATTTACTCTGAACCTGTAATTATTCAGTCTTCCAGTTCTTCCCAACTTTCTCTAGCCATATTTCCTCTCCAGTTCTAACTTTTCAACTACTCTGTCTTCTTTACACCCCCCCCCCCCCCCCCCGCCTCCTGTGCTCACTCCCTGGAGCTATTCCCTTCCTATACACCCTTGATGATATTCTCAAGTCTCATGACTCATTATGTTTGTGCTGATGACTTTCATCTGGACCTGTCTGGTGTTTCACAGGCATCTCAAAAACATCATCTTCAGAACTGAGTTCCTAGTAGTATCTGTCACAGCTGCTTTCTTTCTTTGTCTTTCCCATAAGTTTGTGGTAGCTCTGTCCTGAAAGTGACAGGGCTCTCAGGGTCTATGCATTATCATCTACCTTCAGGATGTAACCAAAACTGTACTTCACACCACCACGTTCTCCCTCCTTGCTGTTCACCATCTCATATGCAGGGTGTTATAATAGGTTCTGCTTGTTGTCTGTCTGTCTGTTGTTTGTTTAAGACAGGGTCTTACTCTGTAGCCTTGGCTGCTCTAGAACTTACTATGTAGAACAGGCTGGTCTTGAAATCAGAGATATCTGCCCACTTCAGCCTCCCAAGTTCTGGTCAGGCCAGGTGTGGTAGCATACACCTTTAATCCCAGAACTCTGGAAGGCAGAGGCAGGTGGATCACTGTGAGTTCGAGGCCAGCCTAGTCTACAAAGTAAGTACAGGACAGCCAGGGCTTCACAGAGAAACCCTGTGTCGAAAAACAAACAGGTGACTGTCGGGGGCTGGAGAGATGGCTCAGAGGTTAAGAGCACTAGCTGCTCTTCCAAAGGTCCTGAGTTCAATTCCCGGCAACCACATGGTGGCTCACAAACCATCTGTAATGTAAACTAATTCCATCTTCTGGCAGGTGTAAATCTAGATTAGAACGCTCATATACATAAAATAAATAAATCTTAAAAAAAAAAAAAAAAAAAGGTGACTGTCACACCATGCCAGGCCTTATATGTTTTAACTATCTCCCTGTTTCCCTTGAAGAATTGGCTTGAAGAAGTACAAGTTTGCTTTTGGCTTCTTTTCACCTAAAATTCTTGTGGCACTTTCTGCTTGATGCACAGTAAAAGGTCCTTGTTATGACCCATGAGGCCTGTGATGAGGCTGTGATTGGGAGCTCCTGTGACTCTCTTCCACTGGTCTCCAAGTCTCATCCTGCTTCAGAGCTATCCCAGCTGCAGTATCAGTAGTCAACACGTCCCACTTGCTTCTCACTCAGACTGCGCTCAGCTCTTTCTGACTCTACATCTTTTTAAAAACCTTTTTTTTTTTTTTTTTAATTATATTCAGGGTTGGGAGCCAGACTCAGGTCATCAGGCTTGGTGACAGGTTCCTTTGGCTGCCAAGCCCTGTCCTGCTGGCCCTCACTCCTATCTACAGGTTTCTAGCTTCTCAGTGGTACCACCCTCTGTTATCCTGTGTCTAGTAACTATGTATCTGGTGACTGTTTTACTTAGGCATCTTCTGTCAGTCTTTGTTGAGAGCTCCTTGAGGGCAGGGATACTTGAAGGCCAACTCCTGTCTTCAGGATTCCAGCATCAGGACCATGATCTCCCTCTCTTTATTTCTGCTGGCAGTTGTGGATCTCTAGATCTGACCCTTGCTGTGCTTTAGCATCTTTTTTTTCTCTAGACCCTGCATTTTATAGTTCCCTTTGGGCATGGTTTCCTCATTACAGAAGGTGGCCATCTGAAGAACCACTTTAAAGACAGTTCAGAGGTTTGTCTGAACATAAAAAACATTTTTAGGGCTTCGTAGAATCTTTGTAAAACACTATTGTTTTCTTTCTTAAGGTGCTGTGGATCAAACTTAAAACCTTATGCATGTTAGGCCTGCGCTACACCGCTCAACTACACCTTAGCCCTTTTTGGTCTCACTGTGTGCCTAGGCTGGCTTCAAACTCAATACCTAGCTCCGGCTGGCCTTGAACCTTAAGATCCAAGAGTCCTTCTTACTCATGTGCCGTGTCTGACCTCCTCAAATCTTTTTTAGTCTGTATTTTTAATGCCTAAGCAACATTCCTTCCATCTCTGCCTGTTGCCCCTGATTATGTACCCTTCACCTGCTATTGTACCTCTGGCCTATAGAATCTTACTGGGTCTCATGTACCAAATTTACTTGCTAGAATGGCACCATAATTATTTTACCATCTCAGCAAACTTAGAAGTGGCACAAGTCTGTAATCCCACCATTCTAGAGACAGAGACAAGAGAATCAGGAGTTCATGCCAGCCAGGGCTACCTAGCGTACTTGTATATGTGTATCCAAGCCAGCCTGGATACAGGAGATCTCAAACCAAACAAAGCAAGGACTACCAAGATAGCTCAACAGATAAGCCACCTCCCTCCAAGCTTGATGATCTGAATTCAGTTCCCTGGGACTTATCCTGCCCCCCAACACACACACAGTGTGTGTTGAAGAGAACTAACTTCTCAAGTTGTCCTTAGACCTCAACAAGAGTGCTGTGGCATGTGTGCTTACACACATACATACACACACAAAACAAGTAAGTAAATGAATATGTAACTTTCAAATAAATAAAAACCAGACTAGACTATGACATTTCCTCAGTTAAAAGCTTTGGTGAAGGGCTAAAGAGATGGCCCAGCAGTTAGGAGAGCTTGCTGCTCATGCAGAGGACCTGAGTTCAGTTCCCAGCCCCTCTGTCAGGCAGCTCACAAGCCTCTTCAGCTGTAGCTCCAGAGCATCTTCTGGCACACACACACATATCTTTAAAAAAAAAAAAAAAAATGAGCATTACTGTCACATACTTCTCCATGACCTCCATGGGCAGTCTTATCTTAACAGGATGTGTAAGACTTTCCACAGCTCAAACTCACCTCCAGCAGCCCTCATGGGCACCTGTGGTCCTCAGGATTCTCACAACCAGCAAACTCACCTCCAGCAGCCCTCATGGGCACCTGTGGTCCTGGGACCTGCTGAATGATCAGCTCTAGAATAAATAAGCTTGGAAACTTTTAGCCGCTCCCCACAAGTTATCTTACTTCCCCAGATGGTGCCTTGGCATGTGTCCCTTCTACGTCCCACAAATAAATATTGGTTCAACAGTAAAGGCTGTGCCCAACTTGCTGGAAGCCATGCATTTGATCACTAGCACCCACAAAAAAAAAAAAAAAAAAAAAAAAAAA